AAAAAAAAAAGGAAGGTGAGGTTGAAATGTAAACGAACATTCAAGTTGATTAAGAAAACAATTAGTATAAATTTCGTAGCAACACCAAAACGATTTCTCTTTTTTCTCCACCAAAGTTGCAACGGCACATGTTTTTGCAGATTGCTGAATAATAACTAAGACGGTCTGTCGAATGCATATAGACATAACTTATACCAATACTGTACAACAGAATTATCGACCTTTCTGGACTTGCTTTCATAACTGAAAGGATTCTTTGAGGGGAATGTATTAAACTTGGTCATGATGTATTATTATCAACTAAATCATGTTGAAGGTATAATAGAAAAGAAATAGGGGGCTCCACTTTTAACATTAATACGGTAAAAACGACCGTAATTTCTAAATGTGAAACCCTTCTGTGCACTAAAAACAGAAAATAAAATGTAGAATTCAGATGATGGTAGTGCAAAATATGAAATCTAGCCTTTCAAATCTGCTGAGTACCTGGTACAGACAATAAGATACCAAAAGCAAAGCAGACGCAAATAGGCCAATCAAAACAGTCAAGTGCCTTCCTGAGTTTATGTGCAAGATTTGTGGTAGCTGGACAATTATGAAGGGAATCACAGATACAGCCATAATAATACCCGCATAGCTCGTCCAGATATCAGTAGTAATGCCAGAACCTGCACAAGCCAAGTAAAAGGGGATCTCTATGTTTTATTGCAAATATGTTACATTGATTCAGACCACAACACAAAACTCAGCAACTACACAAACAGGAATTGGAAAATTGGAGGAAAATATAAGCGACAAACCACTAAAACTGAAGCCTTTCGTGTCTCGAGAATCTATTGCAGTATTATTTTCAATATCGCACTTCCCAACTATAACACAGGTACCCCAGATCACGGTGAGTAGCATAACCGTTGACCCCGCTAAAAGTCCCATTCCAACTGAGACCTGGCTTTGAGCAACTTCTGTGCTTCCAGACAGCCCAGAAACTAAAAATCAAAAGAAACTCATCAGCATACACTACTGCTAATAATAGTCGAGCATATACCGCTTACTTGTTGCAGATTCAAACAAAAAAATAAACACTTGAGTTCA